TCACGTCCGTCAATATTGATCAAATCACCGGAGAGGACAAAGCTTTGATTTGTCTACTGCAGTCGAAGATGTTCCTACTTGGTGTGTGTAATGTAGATATTCATCCAATTAGGGTTCCGCTGAATATCGAAAGTGGAATTCGATCACTATCTACGAAAATCAAAAAACGTTAGTGTTTCAATCCACCAACGTTGGAATGTGGAAGTGTTCATTCCCAATGTTTCCTAACACATTTTGAAAGATTCCATCAAAAATATGGAAAACTATAAAACCTATAATGCGCTTTGTGTGCATAAAAGGAATTTTAATAGTGGCCAAACCCACATTGCCCTCCCATTAAAACATAAAGACACGCATAGTGAATGACAAATTTGCCATTTCATACTATTCAGGACTTTTTGGTTCAACAGAAAAGATACAGGACTAAGTGGTGCATAAGTTCATAATTTAGGATTTATTGGTGCTTCACCCTAAATTAAAATATCAATTATATAAAAGAAATTCAATAACGACTAACTAAGGAAAAAATCACATAGCAATATTTAAACCCAAAAAGAAAAAATAATGAAAACATCCAAACAATAAATACATCTCAGTGTGTAAAGTGATTAATCATTTGTAATATGATGTCAAAATATAAAAGAACTTACTGTTCAACAATTGACAAGTAACTAAAGCAATGAATCCAAACTTTAGAGGTTCCTCGAGAGTATCATTGTTGTACATGTTTTTCCTTCTGTGAGTTGTGATTATATAAATAATATAGGAAAGGAAATATAATTTTATATATAGAATCACTATAAAATTTAAACAACAAATCCATAATATAAAATAATATAAAATTGGTATTGGGTATAGAATAATGCACGAATATAGAATTGGTATTGGGTAAAGAATAATGTGGAGGAAAATAAGAAAAAAAAGAGGCAATTTAGCATTAAAAAAAATCCCAATACCCTTGAAAGAATTAAGAAGAAAAACGTAAAATGCAAAATTGGTATTGTGTCTGTGAATTATCTCAATTTACTATGAAAAATATATGAAAAAGAAATATTTGTCAAATAGAGTCCATATAAAATAGGTAAAATTAGTGTAATTTAAATTAGATTTAGGTTTGTATAGAACTTTATATGTAATTAACAAAAATACATGCTAACGTGGCTCTTTTAGGAAAAAAATAAGTGTTAAAATTCAACGTATAAAGAGAATTGTATTATTGATTGATGTATGTTGTGTTTACAATGAGTCCTATATATAGAAGATTAGAGGAGGTAGGTATGTAGTAGGTGGAGTAGTAAGTGGAGTAGGTGAAGTGGGTGGAGTAGGTTTTAACAGCCCCTTGCAAACTCAAGGGGGATAGGAACTAACCAACTTGAGTTTGGAGAGAGTAACAAAACAAGAAAATAGACTAATACATAAAATAAAAGAGGTTAGGAGACACTATGGTCGTGTCAGACCGTTGGTGAAGACACTGGATGGTTGTGTCATAACGTTGTAGAGGACACTGGATGGGTGTGTCATAACGTTGTAGAAGACACTGGATGGTTGTGTCATAACGTGGTAGAGGACACTGGATGGTTGTGGCAGACCGTTGTAGCAGATAAAGTCTGGACAGGTGACGAGGTCACACCGGACCGATGGAGAAGCTAATCGGAATCAATGTCGGGACAGTTTTATGGGGTCATGTCGGACCGTTGGAAAATACACTATATGATGGTGTATATAGGCTGCCCAAATATATATATACATGGATATATATATCGAGCCCTCAAAAGTCGCGCCCACTTCATCAAAAGTCGTGCCCGACAGAAAGCGTCGAGCCATCAAAAGGTCAGCCGGAGACGCGGCGAGGCACGTGAGCGACAGAGCGGCGTGTCGGCCGCGTCGTCAGTGTCGATATAAACCAATGCGGAGGCTGTGGAAACCAAACCAGGCTGAAACCGCTGAACATTGTCATTCTGAAACACTCTGTAAATATTCTGGATCCAACCCTTCTCTGAAAAAACTCTGCATTGTCAGAGAGAGAAACTTTGTAACACTCTGTAGCCCAGAAAATGGCCTCGTCTTCCCGTGGTCTGCTCACTCTCTTTCCCGACCTCAACGAGTCAACAAGAGAGATAACGGGTGCGGGTGCCCTTGAATCTCAACCAAGCGCCCCTGAGTTTGCGCCGTTGACCTTTCCGATGCGGTCTGTGGAGCAAAGAATGGCAGCACAATCAGATATTGAGGCCAATCAGTATATATTGAAGTCTTGTGTGGAGACGATGACGGCAGTCACAAACTTGTCGCACCGGCTTCAGAGTAGGACAAATGAGGTGCAGCAGTTAAACGCCCAACTGGCTCTGCTCCAACGCATGTATAAGGATGCGCGAGCAAAGATAAGTGTGCTAAAGGCGGAAAATAAGGAGCTGAAGCGGAAGGCCACCGTGATGTTCCGATTTGGAGGTCCGCCATATGCTGCAGTGGAGGAGTATGGGGGAGTGAACGTGCTCGGTGGAGGAGGAAGCACAGAGGCAGCACCGTCAAGGGCCGCTCAGGACGGAGGCAAGAAGAAGAGACCGGCAGCAGAGTAGAGAAGAAAAATCCCGCTGTGGGTGTGGTTTTTTTTTTTTTTGGGTTTTGTGGAAAATGGTGATCGCCCCTGACATGAATTATTGATTGTTGTGTTGTGGTTTGTTGTTTTTTATTTTTTTTGTGTGTAAAATTGTGATCAGGGTTGATCCCTGAGATGAATAAAATATGATGTGGTGTGCAAAGCTATAGGGGATGAATGGAATTTGAAAAAGATTAAAAAATAATGTGAAAGAAAAAGAAAGAAAGAAATAATAAGAAGACATTTGAAATCAAAAAATGAAAGGTGGGGGAAATAAGGAAAGTGGTTCACGTGGTTTCTTGTCCCACTGTTTTGTGAAAATCGGCAATGGTGTTCAGTATATATATATATATATATTTTTTTGTTATGTTGGTTTAATAATAATAATAATAATAATAATAATAATAATAATAATAATATATGAAGGAGGAAAGCATGTGCGCTGGTGGGTTGGAAAGTGAAAAAAATGAGAAAGAGAGAGAGTGGGGTACATGATGATGATGATAAAATGAATAAAAAAAAAAATTGGTTGTGTATAAGGCGGTGACTTTAGTCAAAAAAGTGAAAACTTTCCAAGAAAGCCAAAGAAAATCTCACCAATAAACAGAGAGAGAAGACAAAGGCCCTCAAGGGTCTCTGTTTTGTGTTCTGTGATGGCGAAATCGAAGAAACAAGCTTACAAATCAGTCCCGTCTCAGATAATCAGCACTCTCTCATCTTCTTCTTTACAATCTCTTCTTCTTTCTCCAAAGAAATCATCAAAGAACAAGACCATGTTATGGAAGAACCCAAGGTTCTGGTTTCTTTCTCTCTTTCTCTGCGCTTTTCTGGGAATGTTGAAGATGTGGTTCAATCTCGACCCATTAGTCCCATTCTCTCCCAACCCATGTTCGATTCTTCATCAAGAACCATCACTTAGAGATGTGTTTTTGATTTCACAGCTTCAGAACAATGGTGGAGATACGGAAGCGAAGCCGCCGAAGGGGCGGGCGATGAGGTTGGCCATGCCGAAGGTGGCTGCGATGGTGCCGGCAGTGTGTGTATGTCCAGCCGTTGAGCAGAGTGAAGGGACTGCAGCGACGGGTTAAGGTCAACAGTGGTGGTAGATGAAGACGACCGAGACGGTGGTGTATGGGAGGACAACAGTGAGAGGAGGGGCAGTGGTGGTGGACTCGAAGAAATTTCAAGGTATGTGTAGAAAATTCTAGCAGATTAGGTTGAGGTCCGGCGGGCGGCCAAGGCGAGGTTGCCGCCCGCCGGTGAAGCGAAAAATACTAAGTGCTTAACCTGGCTCTGATACCATGTTAAAATTCAATGTATAAAGAGAATTGTATTATTGATTGATGTATGTTGTGTTTACAATGAGTCCTATATATAGAAGATTAGAGGAGGTAGGTATGTAGTAGGTGGAGTAGTAGGTGGAGTAGGTGAAGTGGGTGGAGTAGGTTTTAACAATAAGCCCTTATAATGTGCCACCTAAGCATGAGAAAAACATTACTTTTAATGATATATATGATTTGTTGTTGTGTCCGACGTGTCATGTTCTCTTTTCTTTTCCTTTTTTAAATTGTTGTGTCGATATGTTAGTATCGTGTTGTATTTGTGTCCTATGTTTGTATCCATCTTTCTTGGCTTATAAATTGCTGTTGTCTATTTTATGAAACAACATTACCACTCAAAATATTATACTAACAGAAAACGAAGAGAGATTTTCCTGTTTGGAAGTGGTCGCTGAAGAGATGGAGCTGAAAGTTTGAAGTCTATGGAAAGGTTCTCTCTCGTATATTTTTTTTGGGAAAATCTAGAAAGAAATAAGTCAGAAAAGATTCTATGGAATTGTGATCTTGATTCTGGTTGTGGATCATGACTTGATGATTTTGTTTAATTCTAGTTTGGTGCTCTTGTATCTATGGGATCTCAATATTGAATTTTTATACATATGAGGGTTCCATCATTTCCTAGTGTAGTATATTAGTTACTACAAGTATACAACAAATAGTAATATAACTTTACTTCTCTTGAAGTGATATAACTTGTTATTTTCATAAAGGAAATGGTAACACATTCAGATTATCATGTTTGAATAGAGGTATTTGTGTTAATATTGGTTGTAAATAATCTTTTTGTAAACTTGTACAATTGGATTACGTATTCAATCTTTTTATCCATGGAGGTACATATATATGTATAGAGACATATTAGCCTAGTCGTTAACTTCAAGGTCCCAAGATTAGTCGAGGTGTGCACAAGCTGGCCCAAACACCCTATTCTCAATATACATATATATGTCCTATCAATTAGAGCATATTTACATTTATACTTTTTAAAGCTTTTTAACCAGCGTTTATTTCTACTGGCGTCATATTCAGATATTTTTGGAGTTAGTTACATTTATTATTTGTTACAGGTTGGGACAAAGGTTGCGGCTGTTTCTCGCAAGACAAACACAACTACTCATGAAGTATTAGGAGTGATGACCAAGGGAAACACCCAAATTGTATGTCTCTTTAGCTTCACTTCTCAACAAAATAATGTACGGTGTTCCATTCTTGGTTTCATGTTTCGTCATGCTAAAACTGTAGCAAATCCGCCTTTTTACATTTTTAATTTTTTTTATAAAAATTATTCCAGGATGATATTTAACTGGTTTGTGTACAGTGCTTCTTTGACACTCCAGGACTTATGCTGAAGAAAAGTGGTTTCCCTCATAATGATATGAAAGTCCGTGTAGAAAGTGCATGGAGTTCTGTTGACCTATATGATGTGGTCATAATTATATTTGATGTTCATAGACATCTTAACAGGTCAGTGACTCCTCTCTTTGATTTTGATTTTGAGCGAATTCCAAAATCTTTGCTCTGTTTTTTTTTTTTTTCTTTTTTTTTGGTGCTCTTCAATTTTTAGTATTTTTCAATGTTATGGTTGTCATTTATTATCATATCACAATTGAAAATTCATATACTGATCTAGACAGCATAGACACTCCTCCGATAATACTTCTCGTGTAAAGCATTCAAGTTGGCCTTTGGATAACAATTTCTTACATTGATCCAATGAACATTTCTGTTTAATACTCTTTCAAATTATATTATATTTTTGAATCATATGACAAAACATCCCTGGCCTTGATGGTTTAACATTGCCTTGTATCTAAATTTGGTTTATCAATTTGCTCCAAATTATACATTGTCAAGAGAGGCCACCTTTTGTGCTCATTTCAACGTGGAAATCAAGTATTCATCATTGAGACTCCGGGGAAATGCATCTCAACTTTCATACTGTTGCAATTATGGGCAACTGGTAGTCAAATCCTTCAGTTTTACAATCAACGTGAGAAATACTGAATGCTTGCTTATGGGTTGTCACTTGGCTAAGGTCATTAATCTTAAATATTATTCTGTGAACAATTCATTTGTAGTCATCCTTTTTGTCTCATCTTTCATTTTGATATCTATGGAGGGCTCGTATTGTCATCATACCACCTATGTATTCTTTTATAAATTTTTTCCTATGTATTGATTAGAGAAGAAAGGATTCTTGTAAGCAATGAATATGTTTGGGATCAAGGTTGAGCTAAGTTGCAAAGAGTTTTCTTGTTTTCTCTGGGGAAAAGTCCATTTTCCTTGAAGATTGTGAAAACAAGGGTTGAGGACCAGCTCTCGAGCACAAAAAGCACAGTATGAGGCTTTCAAATTGGAATTTTATTAAGTTGTCATTAAGTATTATTAGATGTAGTTTATAATATACTTCAAAAGTTGTCTTTTAGGGTATTGTTTTAAGCATCCTTAGCCATAAGGTAACCTCCCAGGAGGTGGCTACTGGTCAACCTAGTTGTCGTTAAGATCGCTGCATGTAAGCCATATGCCACATGCATATCAATTAGTGGTTGCATCTTATCTATTTGTCACATGTTATTGAGTAGCTGCACTGGAACCACTTGCTGCCTTATCTGTTTTCTTTTGTCCCAAGTGTTTCACCATGAAGTAATTTCTAGTCTAAATATAGGGCTGCATCTCATGAAAGAAGGTGCGTGGATAAAATAAAAATAAAAATAAATTGGATTTCAAGTATATGCTTGTAGTCCTATTCCCTTACTATAGAGGGCTTGGTTTTGAGGTCTTACTTGGAAATTCCAAAACTTTGAAAATTGCGTACTTAGTCTTAAAAACTGATTTTTTCAAATCATCGGCCTTGATCTGATTGTCATTTTTGCAAGCCTTTGAATGTATTGAAATCTCTAACTGACTACAGTAAATTTTGCTGACATTGCAATTGATGGATTGAAAGCTTTGAGCACATTGTTGGTGGTCTAAAGAATACAACTGTAAGAATGTCTACGGAAAGAAACCGGTGATCATTTTCAATTACTGGACATAATGATAATCACTCTTCTTAAGGGTATCTTTAACGAAAAATATGGAAGATTTACAGTGGATAGAGCAGCTTCTTCATTTGTAAAATGGAGTTTTTCTTGATTGGTTGACTAGCTAGCATAGATTAATCTTTGGCTTGGCATCAACTAACCAAAGGAAGTAAAGTACCACTGTGGCTAGGTGGAAAACCTTTTACAAGGAAGATTCCCCCCATGGACTATAACAGAGTCTATTTATAAAATTTCATTATTCAACTCTCTCTCTCTCTCTAACATACACAGGATCACACTTATTTTTTCTATTTTAATAATAATTTGAATGTGGTCTTCTCTTATATGAATTCTACTTTGATGATGGGTTTATAGTTGAGACTAGCTTTTTGTCATAAACTGTTGCTTCACCCCCACTCCCAGTTATATCGTGATGGTTCTTAATTTCATTTTCTTATATCAATTATTTGATATCCACTTCATTTTCTTTTTTGACTATTCAGGAGTTATTAATATTTTTCTAGGCTCTTTTTGATAATTCTTACTTTATGGTTTTCATAATTATGTGTATAGACTAAAGAATTGGAATATAATTTTATATTAATAACATAATTGTGATATTATGGTTTAGTTTGATCTGAAAACTGAATTGGTAACACTTACCTGCTTTATCCGTTTCATCGAATAGTCGAGCTTTGAAACATTGATTAGAAATAATCTTGTGCATATTTGGTACTTAGTGTACCTACTCTTGTATAGATGGTAACATGTTAGGATCATTGATCACTCAGCTCTTTGGATTCTTTCACTTATATAGGCCCGATAAAAGAGTGATTGGATTGATTAAACATATGGGTTCACAAGCGAATCCAAAACAGAAACGAGTGCTATGTATGAATAAGGTGGACTTGGTTGAAAAAAAGAAAGATTTGTTGAAGGTTGCGGAACAATTCAAAGATCTACCTGGATATGAAAGGTAGGTTCTGTTTCATTATGATAATTGACTGTCAATGTTCGAGTAAGTATCTGATTCCTTGATTTATCTTTTTTTATTTTCTAGGTATTTCATGATCTCTGGATTGAAGGGTTCTGGAGTAAAAGATCTAACTCAATATTTGATGGAGCAGGTATATTTCCTTTTTAAGTAATGCCACCTTTGTAATATTTACCCATTGCAATGCAGATTTTATTTCTTGTAGCATTCAGGTGCATTTCTCGTAATATTTTTTTGAATGAATGAGGCTACTTGTCAACAGCCTAAATGTTCAAAGATATGCTTCCTGTTAGGGCAGTTTCCCATTAAATATCATTTCATTTTAACAAAGAGAAGCATAAAGACTTCTATTCTTTCTATTTGTATTCTCGACATTTCTGTTATAGAATTTCTTTGTCATATTTTTGTATGAAGCACCTGAGCCCTGGGAATTCATGTTTCAAATATTCTGCCTGATCTTGTTTATTCTCTCTATGATTCATGTAATTTCTCCTTTGAAATGTGATTAGGCAGTTAAAAGGCCTTGGGATGAAGACCCACTTGCAATGAGTGAAGAAGTTATGAAAAGCATATCTTTAGAAGTTGTCCGTGAAAGATTGTTGGACCATGTACATCAGGTTGTGCTTAGATTCCTACATTTATCTGTCGTATGACCTTGGTGTTCTTTTGCCAAAATATACGTTGTTTAGTACTTGCTTTTTTTTATGTGTATTTCTGTGATATGTCTCCAAGGAATTTAAATTGGCAAATTTAACTTATTTCAGGAAATCCCGTATGGCATACAACATCACTTGGTAGATTGGAAGGAGTTACGAGATGGTTCTCTTAGGATTGAACAACATTTCATCACTCACAAGATGAGCCAGCGCAAAATTCTTGTTGGGAAGAATGGCTCTAAAATAGGGTATGTTCATTTGGGGTTAGAATATACTTGCATGTTCTGTGCTTGGTTCGGGTTGGTTCGATTCAATGAGACTCAGCCAAAAGGCCATTCATTATTATCAATTACTGAAAATAAAGGGGAACCAACATAAGTATTTGCTATGAAGCATGGATACTCCGAAAATATTTCCGTTGTCCCTGCCCAAAGGCATGGGGGTTGGCACTTTGTGTTGATACACTAAAACTTGTGCTGGAGATGCGGTTAGATCTTCTAACACAAACTGATGATTCTGGGGGGAACCAAAGCTTGGCCTAGTTGCAACCCCTTGGTGAACTCAGTGGCCATGCAACTCACATCTGAACCATCCTCTTGCAAAAGAAGTTCTTCACTATAGTTGGGATCCCAATCCCCGGGAATAACCAGCAGAGACTTGCCTCCGGCTTGTCATGAGCAGCTTCCATAGGCTGAGAGAGTTGTATATTTGGAAGTGTTAATGAACCTGGAATTTTATGAGCTGCAGAATAACCAGCAGTGATTCCATTGCATCCTCGTTGCTGCCTCCAACTTGGAGCATTTGAGTTAGACTGCAGATGCAACGGAGAACCACCAAGTACTGGAGAGTTTCCCTCAGGTTGACCAGAGCTGGTGCCATCAGTTACTTGCCCTTGCCAATGAGGAGATGATGAACTCTCCTGAGACTGCAAACCTCCAGAATACCCCCAACTTTTTTTCTTCTGTTCAGGTTGTTGGTGAGGCAGGTCTAGCAATCCGTAATGGTAGATCGGCCAAATTGATTGAAGTTCCTTGGGAAGGGGCCACTACTATGGCAGCTCTGTTTGAGCAGTCTTGTAAGAAGAATTCACACGAACGATTTCTTGGAACAAGAAAGCTAATTAAGAGGGACTTTGTAACAGCTAGTGATGGCAGGTATGTGTAGAAAATAAGCGGAATAGGTTGAGGTCCGGCGGGCGGTCAAGGCGAGGTTGCCGCCCGCCGGTGAAGCGAAAAAGACTAAGTGCTTAACCTTGCTCTGATACCATGTTAAAATTGTAGTATTATTGATTGATTGTGTATATTACAAGATTGATGTGTTGTTGATATTACAAGGCTTCCTATTATATAGGAGAGGATTTGGGAGTAGGTGAGTGTGTGTGGTAGGTGTAGGAAAGTAGGTGAAGTAGGTGAGTGTGTGTGGTAGTGGAGGTGGTGGGTGGAGTGGGTTATGGTAAATTCTAACATAATAACATAATTGTGATATTATGGTTTAGTTTGATCTGAAAACTGAATTGGTAACACTTACCTGCTTTATCCGTTTCATCGAACAGTTGAGCTTTGAAACATTGATGAGAAATAATCTTGTGCATATTTGGTACTTAGTGTACCTACTCTTGTATAGATGGTAACATGTTAGGATCATTGATCACTCAGTTCTTTGGATTCTTTCACTTATACAGGCCCGATAAAAGAGTGATTGGATTGATTAAACATATGGGTTCACAAGCGAATCCAAAACAGAAACGAGTGCTATGTATGAATAAGGTGGACTTGGTTGAAAAAAAGAAAGATTTGTTGAAGGTTGCGGAACAATTCAAAGATCTACCTGGATATGAAAGGTAGGTTCTGTTTCATTATGATAATTGACTGTCAATGTTCGAGTAAGTATCTGATTCCTTGATTTATCTTTTTTTATTTTCTAGGTATTTCATGATCTCTGGATTGAAGGGTTCTGGAGTAAAAGATCTAACTCAGTATTTGATGGAGCAGGTATATTTCCTTTTTAAGTAATGCCACCTTTGTAATATTTACCCATTGCAATGCAGATTTTATTTCTTGTAGCATCCAGGTGCATTTCTCGTAATATTTTTTTGAATGAATGAGGCTACTTGTCAACAGCCTAAATGTTCAAAGATATGCTTCCTGTTAGGGCAGTTTCCCGCTAAATATCAGTTCATTTTAACAAAGAGAAGCATAAAGACTTCTATTCTTTCTATTTGTTTTCTCAACATTTCTGTTATAGAATTTTTTTGTCATACTTTTGTATGAAGCACCTGAGCCCTGGGAATTCATGTTTAAAATATTCTGCCTGATTTTGTTTATTCTCTCTATGATTCATGTAATTTCTCCTTTGAAATGTGATTAGGCAGTTAAAAGGCCTTGGGATGAAGATCCACTTGCAATGAGTGAAGAAGTTATGAAAAGCATATCTTTAGAAGTTGTCCGTGAAAGATTGTTGGACCATGTACATCAGGTTGTGCTTAGATTCCTACATTTATCTGTCGTATGACCTTGGTGTTCTTTTGCCAAAATATACGTTGTTTAGTACTTGCTTTTTTTTATGTGTATTTCTGTGATATGTCTCCAAGGAATTTAAATTGACAAATTTAACTTATTTCAGGAAATCCCGTATGGCATACAACATCACTTGGTAGATTGGAAGGAGTTACGAGATGGTTCTCTTAGGATTGAACAACATTTCATCACTCACAAGATGAGCCAGCGCAAAATTCTTGTTGGGAAGAATGGCTCTAAAATAGGGTATGTTCATTTGGGGTTAGAATATACTTGCATGTTCTGTGCTTGGTTTGGGTTGGTTCAATTCAATGAGACTCAGCCAAAAGGCCATTCATTATTATCAATTACTGAAAATAAAGGGGAACCAACATAAGTATTTGCTATGAAGCATAGATACTCCGAAAATATTTCCGTTGTCCCTGCCCAAAATTCGATCTTAGGTCTTCTTTTAACTTAAGACCGCCATCAAGAACAAGTGATGGAATGAGTAGAACGTACTTACCCAGTACTTGTAATACTAACACGGCTCCACGTGTATCGACTATGTGAAATTCTTTGGGTACGGCTCAAGTATAGGGTGGGTATGGCATGGGTGCATTTTGAGTATGAGATGGGTACGTTTCGGGTACTTTTGTAGATATGTCTAGACATAAATATAATTTTTTTAAAATACAGGGTTACTAGAACAATTAAATTGTGCCTATTTTTTAAAAACTTTAGTATGGGGTATTTTTGCAATTATAAAAAATGCTCAAGTGTTCTTTTTTTTACCATTACAAAAGTACTTTTAATCAATTTTTGCATTTATTTTTTTAGTTGTTATATATTATGTACTACTACTACAAATAATTTTTTTTTTTTTAATTATGGAAATACATGAATGTATTCGTATCCTACATTTTTAGATTTTTCCATTTCAACGTATCCGTAACATACCCATACCCTTACCGCACCCGCGCACCCATGCTTCCTAGAGTATCCGAGGGTTGGGTTGTTCAGTTTGATAGTTAGGTTGATTTTTACATATTAATGATTTTTATATTACTAAACTTGATTACCCAACATGACAAATAGGCAATAGCATTGATAGAAATTTATTTGATCAGCTAAATTTCAATAAATTTTTTTTTTTTTTTGCCGATTCACACCAATTTGCACCAATTCATGCAGTTTTTAGAGAGACAGTGGAGCAAGTTGGGCAGTTAGATACTAATTTCTTTGTTGGTCGGCCAATTGTATGTTTTAAAAATTGTCAACTTGCCCAACCGATCTGCCCACATATATGTACAAACCTTGCACCTTCCGACACCCAATTAGGCCCCCACTTTTCATTTTCATGTCATCCCCCGCTTCGTGAGGCATCACACCCTGCTACCATCCCACACCTCCAGTGACCATTCTTCCAGCATTCCAATTACTCTCTTTTTCTCTCCCTCTTTCACTCCCCTCATCAATCACTGCACCTTTCTCCACCCCTTCACAGCCAGATCCTACCTTCCACCTTTCCTCTCACCCCCATCCACCTCACTGGCCACCCAGCTCTGTCCGTCCACCTTCCCTCTTCTCCCTACCCTCTTAATTTGATTGTTTTGTAGAAAAATTTGTAAAAAAATATTTTTGTAACTCAATGAATTTGATTAATTTGTGGCTTTTGTGTTGGGATTTGAAATTGATAATAAAGATTTTTTTGTTGAAATTGTGAAAAAATTATTAGTTGTATGACCATTTTGAAATTCAACAGTGTTGGCCCAAGCATCCTGCATCTGCCTTTCTTGAGTTGTTGTGATAACTATAATATTGAAATGGTGAAAGGTTATATAATGTGTTTATTTTACGATATGTGGTAATGGTTGAACCATCTTGTTTTATTTATTGTTCTGGAATGTCCATCTATATGACACCTCTTTAATAGGAGACATGCAAACGTGTAATTATATCTCTTGTTCATAATATCACTCGGAATCCTAAAATTATCTTTTTCTAAACTGCTCGAAAGTTTTGAATTTACAAGTGCAGTCTTGTTTGGGATTTCGAGAAAAATTCAGGGCAGTCCCATGGGGGCTCTCAACACACATTGGGATAATCCACTTAAATGTGAAGTTTAATTAAGAAAAACCAAAAATCGTACAGAAGAAATGAAGCAAGATATTGTGCGGATGTCCTAATTAATCGCAGACATATTTACACTTGTTCATATGGTGGTGTTTTTCCCTTTGATTACATTTTTTTGCACATCTCTGTTTGTTCATCCATTAGATAATACTAAATATATTTCAGTGACCTTATTTAAGTTAATTTTTTTTATTTTTTTTATCAACTTTTATTTCTTTTTTATTATTTGTCGTTTTTATTGAATACAATCTTACAAAGAAATCTATGATTGCTTGTCTTAACACAGGAGAATAGGCATTGAAGCCAATGAAGAGCTGAGGTCCATATTCAAGAGGAATGTTCACCTCATTCTTCAGGTCAGAGTTAAATGATGCAATCGGCAAATCAATCAAATGCTGCCATCATACACTTTTCTTTTTTCTTTTTCTTTTTTGGCTAAGCGATTTTGTAACATATATAGAGGAATCATTAGTTGTACTTGTATTTTATTTATCTTTGTATCTTTAACCTTTCAAAGATCATGGTGTTGAGCCACTTGAATTGCATTGATTCATTAGCTTGGCATATTGCTGTTAAAATTGGTTAAAAGCGCCATTATGGTTGGTAGAATCCGAGCTTGAAGGAACAATTCTTATCACACACGGGTTACTCATATTTTAATAGCAAGTTGCTTTATTTTTTAGTACAATTTCACTCGAGTTTGGTTTTCTGTAAACTTGCCATGTTTTACAGTTCAGTAAAATGTTTAGACTTTCCATTGATTAGTATATCATAGACTCCGGTCTTTCTAATAAATTAGCTGATATCTTCCCTTTTGATTCATCAATTCGCCTTACTATTCTGGTGTGCAGTGTGTTCAAAAAAATATTTAGCCCAAGGACTTTGAAGCTTGTCTTGATTTAATCAATGGTCGCAATAGTTACATTTAATAAAAAAAATACGCTCCAATTGGGCCCGGGCTGAAATGACTCTTATTTGTATCATCATTTTCAATTTGTATCAAAAGAAAAGTAAATACCAACCCAACTTACTTATTTTTCCATGTTGTGTCATGTCATTTAGAATTTGTATCTGATTCTTATCAAACAATTTTTTTATCTTTAAAAATATCAAGTGTGAAAACATTAAAGTTCTTTCATTTATGTTTTTTATAGACAATATTAGCTCCACTAGATGGTGTGCACCATGTTTGTAACGAATTCGCCTTCAGAATACAATAAAACTTGATATTTAAATAAGTTTACAATAAATTCGTCTCTCGAATGCAATGAAACATGATCACTAGATCTGTCTAAAATTCACCAATGTGTTTGGGCCAAGTGCACCACACAGCCCACTGCACACGGTGGTGATGACCGGGGGTGGGGGCTGGAGGAAGTGGCGAATAGATGAAAGAATAATTTTATTTAAAAAAAAAATGAAAATAACTTTTTAGTATTTATAGAGTTTAGTAAATTTTTGTAAACTAATTACATATTTTGTTTTTATAAACAAAAACAGACACCATTAATATTGATGTATTTTTAGATTGTACTCTTCAATTTACTTCAATAATATTCTCTCCTTTTGCTGATAAAAATATTAATTTATTGTCAATTTTTGAAAGTTACGTAAATATAAACGAAAAACTATATATATAACTACTACCAAATTAGGACTTAGTATATACAAGAGTGTATTAGCAGTTGGTCAAAAAATCAAATATGTATCGATACATATTCAGTTCTTGAGATCGCTATTTAAAATCTCACATCATTTGCTTAATTTACATCTATTTTTGGAACTCAAATTCATTTCAGAATCTGAAGAAGTTCCATTGTTATGGAGACTATTGAGGATTGAACATGATGTCCTTGCCTTTGTTGCTTTCTTAAATGTGAGTTTTTGCTTCAGTTACTGTAAAATAACATGTCTTTTGAGAAATTTCTTTGATTCGCTAGGTCTCACTGACAGTGTACATGGTTTGGTTTGGTCTGGATTTGTAGAAATTCAAGAAGCAAACCATCTCAACAGTTCCAAGCATTAAAGAACCAAATCAAACCATGTAAAATGTGAAATTGAATCAGACCGTACTTATGAAAAACAGTTTTGTTTTATTTTTGTCTCTCCTTAAAGCAACTTGTTTCAAAACTGGTTCATAATGAATGTTTTATAAACTTATCTCTCTCTACTCTCATGTCTTTATTTATTTGTTTGTTTCCATTGTTCCTTTTACGTTTCAATCTGTCAACCAAACTTTTATGATTCTTGATTCCTCGAAATTAGTACGAAGCATCCACTCAAAAAAGGAGACCAAAATGTAAGGTTTAGAAAAATTATATTTACACAACATAATTATCTCAGTTCACACCACACTCGAGTTGAATTTTTAATTTTTTTTTCAATTCACATTATTAATTTTCAAATGACACCAAAATACCCACATCTTTAATCTCAAACCCTAACCATCACCACCCATCACCACCACCGCCACCATCACCCTCCAAAGCCCCAACTCCTCCCTCAACCACCACACCCTTCCCAACCCCTTCCCACCGCCATTGCAATCCCTCTTAAGTCTTTCATCAGGAGGACCACTTCTCCTTCCACAACCAATAGAAGGGCTTTTTTTCCTTGAAAACAAATGAGTCGATCCAACGTTATTGAAACTGGCTAAGTTGGAAAAAATGATCAAAAGGTTCGAGGAAATTAACTCAATCCCAAACATCGAAGACGGGTATATTGAAATAGCTGTAAAGTTGCCCAAACGATTTAAGATGCCACACATTGATAGGTTCGATGGATTTGGTGACCCAATGGTGCACATTCGCTTGTTCTCTAATGTTTTGAAGCCTATGGGACTGACTCATCCGCAAAAACTTTCCCTATTCAGACGGACTTTGTCAGGCGTGGCTGTCATTTGGTACGCCAAGTTAGAGGACTCGGTGAAACAAAGCTGGGAACAATTAGCCGAGGCCTTTATCACCGAGTATGCCTATAATATTAGACTGAAGTGACCACCCGGGAGTTAGAGGCAACCCGCCAAGAGTCGAATGAGAGTTTTGTAGCCTTCATCACTAGGTGGAGGACCAAGGCAGCAAGGATGACCAATACACCACCAGGAAAAGATCAAATTCGCATGGTGGTAAGGAATTTGCATGGCCAGATTCTACAAAAGATGATAGTCCTTCCACTGTTCACTTTAAAGAACTACATGAAATGGGGGTCTAGATAGAAGATGCCATCAAGCAGGGAATCATTGTTGACGACAAAGAACCTGTGCGAAAAACCTCTGGGCGCAATTACAATGCTACTACTAGTAGTAGCATAGCTGTAAAGCCCTCTGAAGTCAACTCGGTCACTGCTACCACCCAAATGGCTGATCCTTTTGTTTATACTAGTTCACAAACAACAAATCCAACCTGAACCCTAACCAAAGCATTCACCCCTCTCTATATGTCCCTCTCTAGAGATATGAAGGTCTTGATAGAAAAGGGACATCTCAAGTTTCTTGACCCTCGACCTTTTCCCAATCCTCTTCTACCCAAACATGACCCTGCCAAACACTGTGCCTTTTACCAACATCCCAGACATGACACTGATCGTTATATCGTCTTCGTCATGAGATTCAAGATCTCATCGACAACAAAGTCATAGCTCTCTCCACAACCACCAAAACCCAATGTCACCACTAACCCGCTACCACCCCATGACAAAATCCAACCACTCCCTCGCCTGAACTTCATACATACACTACCACCTACCTTTAACCCCCAATATATACATTATGCCTTCCCATTTACCCAAACCCAAGGTATACATTCCTGAGAGCATTGATCTATGCATGATGGATGCACCTCCAACCCAACCAAAACTTGAAAATCCTATGGTGGTATTGGCAGAAACCGAAAAGGAAGTAGCCGAAGTACTAGTGATTAAAACTGGGAAGTTACCAGAGGAAGGATACAATCATAGAAAGTATATCGTACCCATTAGTCAGCAAAAGCCTGAGGTTGTTCTACCTGACTCATTTTCTATCAATGTTGTCAAGGAAAATAAACCTAAATAGGGATTGGATGAATTGGCAGACCTAGAGGAGGACTTGGCCAATTTCCAGTTCTTTGAAGAATTAGACCTTGGAAATGTGCAAACGGGATGATGGCATCCAAGAAATTCCAATACCGGTCATACAAGGTCAAACAATGGAGAAGTGTTTGACTGTGAAACTGAAAGAAAAGAGGATGAACTAAAGATCAACATCGAAAAAGCTTCCGGAAAGGAAACAAAGGAATCAAAGAGTTAACCAGAGTGTAATATGGGGATGATTCGAGCAGAGCTTGACAATTGCCTTTTGGTCAATGAAGGCGAATGGTGGAATGATGACGACTTGCAGCTCACCCATGCTAATGATAAATGGGGAAGCAATGTGCTTGACGAGACTTGGTACTTGAAAGAAATTGATCATCTTATTAGGAGTGGGCGCTACTTCAAGCCTCCACATCTAGACCAAGGAGAGTTATCAGACAAATACAAAGAAGATGAGAAAGAGAAAGAGAAAGAGGCAGAAGAAGACCTGGTTCTAAAGCAGCTAAAAAGGATCTAGGCGAACAACTCCATCTGGGGGCTTCTCATGGCTTCCCTAGAGCACTGACATGCAATGTTGTCAGCCTTAAGCAAGACTAAGTTGTCGATCAACACAACTCCGAAACAACTGGTGTCACTAATCACTCCAAGTGAAACATTCCCCATAATGACTTTCTCTGACAAAGAGCTACCATCGGAAGGGTCGGGACACAATAAGCCTCTATATGTGTCATTAGGGTACAGAAAGAAATGGATCCCGATCGTTCTGATTGACACCGGATTAGCTATCAATGTCCGTCTTTCACGCATTGCTTATGCAATAGGGCTAAAGTAGGCAGATTTCATGCCCACTACTCAGTTGATCCGGGCTTATGATAATACTAGTCGAGAAGTTATAGGGACAATCAAAGTGCAAGTAATAGTGGGTCCATCTGAGCACAAAGCTGAATTCCATGTCATGGATGTTCTGGCAACATTCAACCTACTATTAGGAAGGCCCTGACTTCATTAGATGAAAGTTGTATCCTTCACGATGCACCAACTGGTAAAATATCATATGACGGAGGAATTGCCACCATTTTGGGAAATTCATCCATTCAACCTCCTTTGAAAGTCACAACGCCATTGCTAGAAACACAACATGGAGAGGAGGATTTGTTCCTCTCGGGCCTTACATTGGCGAAAACGAAGCTGGTTTAGACAATCATGGCAGAAGGTGAAGGGATGTACATCAGTACGTAGTCAATCTACTTCATGAGTAGGCTGGGGCATATTCTTGGAATGGAATTGGGGAAAAATGGCAAAAAAGGCATCACCACATCAAATGAAGTGCTTATAACCCGTATGCGTTTGGATTGGGGTATGCACCTACAAAAGAAGATTGGAAGAGGAAAGGTGAAGAGATCAAAGAAATGATCAAGGCAAAAGAGTAGGGCGATGGTTTGAGTTGGTCCATAAGCCAATTCATGGAACTTTGAACGGGCACTTTGTCCGTGAAAGAGAGGATTTCCCTTTTTATGGGTTTCCCAAACCATGGATCGACCATGAGGAAAAGAAGAGGTGTCTTAGGTTTGAGATATTCTTTAATCATTAACTCTCTGATAGTGACGAAGAGCGAGCAAATCCAAGCATTGGCATCGGTCAAGACAGTGGTGTCAGTTCAGAAAGTAGCATGGCTGATGTCCTGGGTCTAACACTGGCTGATCTACTGAAAAGGTCAAATACCAGAGGTGAACCAACAAACTTGGGGGATATAATCGTTTCTGTGATCAGGGGGGGTCACCCACTAATTACTCAAATTTCATTATGGATGCAGTGGATGGCTCCGCATGCAAACTGGAGTTTTGAAAAAAGTTTTTTAAGTTCTGAGTCGGTTGTTAAGTCTGATTCTGTGGAGTCAGGTCTGTCTGGAATACTAGACTCCGGTGGTTATGTGGGTAATAACCCAAACACCATTATCCCATCTGGGTCTCTCTATTTGTTTTTCTTTTGAGTCTATTGTAACCGTTGAGCCTAAGGTTGTGAATGAAGATGATGTGATTTTCACTTACTTATCTGTGCCTATAGTTCATAACATTGATCAAAATTTTCAAAATTTTGATAAAAACGAAGAGAAAGAAATTCCTCGGGTTTTGAAAAATCTTGTTGAATGAGAGGAAGAGAGGTGTGCTAAGCCATTAATAGATGAGATTATTTTAGAAAATATGGAAACGGAGAAAGATCTTCGTTTGGTTCAGATTGGTTCCACTTTATCTTTGGAGGAACACGAGCAATTAGTTTCTTTATTAAAAGAATTCAAATATGTTTTTGCAAGGTCCTATGAAGATATGCCTGAAATCGATCCTGAGATTGTATAGTATAGGATCCCTCTTAACCCTGAGGCTCAACTTGTCAAATAGAAGTTTCGCAGAGTTCGTCCGGATTGGGCACTGGAAATCTAAGAGGAGGTTACCAAACAAATCAATGCTGGATTCTTGTTGGTATTAGAATATCTGACTTTGTTAGCCAATATTGTGCCAGTTCTGAAGAAAGATGGTAGAATCAGAGTTTGTATTGATTTCTGGGATTTGAACAAAGCCAGTCCAAAGGATGATTTTTATTTTAGTTCTTGTAGTCCAATTAAAGATGATTATATAAATCAGTAAATGTTAAGACCTAATTTGATGGTTGAAAAGGTGGTTTTAAAATTTGAACAATTCATCCATAATTACAACAAATTAATGTTTTAGAGAAAAAAGTTAGAAGAAAAAAAATATATATTTTTAGGACTAATTTTTTTGTTGCAAAAAATGTCATTACTATGTTTTTTGCGACAAAATTGAAAAAAAAAATGAACACTCTTTATCTATTTTTAAAAATGAAATTAATCTTAGCAAATAGGAAATGATCATTTAAGCAAAAGTCTGGCAGTTATTCTCTTTCTTTCTTTTCTTATTGATTTTGAAATAAGTCTCACAGTGTATGAACACTCTTTGTTTGTTTGTTTGTTTTTTTTTTCTTTCTAAAGTCTATGTGAATAAGTAGAAAATGGAGACAAAACAGTTTCCATCAACCAGCCCACACGTCGGGTCGAGAGACCCATTCCCACCACCATATTGCAAATTTATGAAAAGACTTTCTAAAGTCGGAGTGAATAAGTAGAAAATGGAGACAAAACAGTTTTCATCAACCAACCCACACGTCGGGTCGAGAGACCCATTCCCACCACCATATTGCAAATTTATGAAAAGACTTTCTACAAAGTCTTACATTTTTTAAATTCTTTTATTATTAATTTCAAATCCAATGTGCTGCACATTAAAACATCAAAAGACACACCTTTCACTTTGTTCCTTTGTAGATGGGATAGCCTTCTACTTCTCCCAGTAACTTTCATGTTCTCCCAGATTGTTGCCCTTTTAATTTTACTAAAAAATCAAACTTCTAGAAAACATAATTTTATGGTAATCCAATCAAGATTATTAAAGATTAACTTAAAACTTATAGATAATATCATGGAAGACTCCTAAGTCTTATTAATAAAATCAAGGTAGTAACATTGAAGAAAGACCTCTATGTTTTCTGTTACTCAAAGATTTATGACAAAAAAAATTCTAATTTGTGAAGCTTCCAATTAAATTCCAATATATTTCCACTAATTTGTGAAATGAAAGCTATGTCAATACAAACAATTTCGAGGACCAAATCATCCACTAAATATGAGATGAAATTTCAAAGAATCAAGTGTTCGTTGAAAATTATAAGATTAATGTAGTGACAAGAGCTTTCAATTTCTCTTTCGGTTGCTTTTCAAGTATTAATTTCTGATTTGAATTTTCCAAAGTTAGTCATCTAACTTAATAGAATAATTTGGGTTTTGTGCGCCTGTTTTGGAATTGATCTTGATAATATATTCAAACCAATCACTTTTTATGATTTGTTGAATATAAAATTCGTTATGGTGATGTACATCAAAAGCTATATGTTTGAATAACATTTATATAACAAAAAGAGATGATTATTCTTAAAATTATATTTGTCATTCATTTTTTTTTAAAACAAATGTAATTCAAATATATAAGTACAGATGTCCGATGATTTTGATTTTTTACATAAATATTATACTCAACAATGATGTTGACCACAAAACGAGCTCATTAAGCCCAACTACTCTCTCAAGTTGAATGGCCAACTTGAGAGAATCCAACCCCATTGAATTAATTATTATATTGATTGAGAGGAGAGGGTTTGCACCAATGAACATCTTGTAAGAAACTTCCTTCTTCAAGTCTCCCAGCACACAGCTGTCCATCCTTTCTTCAATAATGACATACAAAATTTTGAAAGGTTTTCACAAAGAATAATGTTATATATATAATTTTTATTGAAAAAATTCATACAAAATGATATGTCATTTTTTAGCCCTTTGTTTCAAGCAAAAAAACAACTAGTAGTTTATAATTGTAAAAATATCATGTTATATTATTTATTAGTTTTATTTATAAAAATTATGTTTTCGAATCATTTTTTGTTTTTAATAATATAGTTAAAGCTTATATAGTTTATTATTTTTGAGAGATTTATTAAGAACTCCTTTTCTAAGTACTTGTATTCTAATTAGCCCATAATATATCATTCTATTTCAGTAAGTCCTATTATTTGTCATATTTAAGATATTTAATAGATAATTTTACCCTTACAATTATGTTTTGAACGGTTAGCAACTTGGTGATGTGAACGTTCATATTTTACGATATGAATATTCATATTGACGTGTAAATGCTCATATTTTATGATGTAAATATTCACATTAACGGTGTGAACGTTCATATTTTGTGATGTGAATATTCATATCACGGAACATACACGGTCAATGTGAATACTATTATGTGTATTTTGGTAACTATGTCATCCATAAGACTTGTTAGAATATAAGACTTGTTAGAATAAAAGAAAATAATTTGTTTTAAGTAAAATATAAGTAGAGAAAGAAGGATTTATAAATAAGTTTCCCATTATTTTTTGAAAGAAGGCCTGATGCGTTAAGAAATTTGTTACAAAATATCATTTTGTGAATATGTTATTATGAGTAACAATATTAAATCTATTAATTTTAGAAAATAAAAAACCCTATGAAAATTAAATGGAAGATGATGAATCACTCACGATGAGTTAAGAATCATTTACTAGCACTCAAAATATCTAAAACCCTTAATAGTAGATTAAATTATTAATTATTTTATATACATTAGATTATTTCTTTATTTCTCAAAATAAAAATAATCTTATAAACCTTTTCTCACTACTAATCTAATCCTACCTTTCATCGTTAAAAACAAACAAGACATTATATATGGTCATCAAATAGGGACTTAGTTAGCCATTTCACTCTCTAATGTTAGTCCTGTGTGTATACTAATATAATTAAAATATATATATATATATATATATGTGAGGAGATAAATAGGACAATCTAATAATTTCAAGTCCATAGTACCGGCTTCGAATCACCTATACTCATTTTCTGTACACATCTTGTGTCCCACTCATGATTTCAAAATTGACGACGTGGCAGTCTGAGATGAATGGGATAGAAGATAAGTACATAAGAATGGGTACAGGAGATCTGAAACTCATAGTACCGAAGAATCAACACAGATTTGTTTATTTAGTCAGGCTTGCTATTGACATAAAGCACCAAATAAGAACAATATTGTGGGTCCTTTATTTAGGCACTGTTTGAAAAAAAAAAAAAATTAAATCATATTTGATTATGAATTTAAATAATGATTTGAAAAAGAAAACGAAAATGTGAGAAAGTGGATAAAAAAATTTAACTTATATTTTATTTTTATTTCTCTTATATTTGATTTTCTTTTTTCAAATTCTTATACCAATTCATGATTCAAACACAATTTTATTCATAATACAATGATGAGTACATCTATTTACCAAAAATTATATATCTCCTCTAATGTTAGCATTATATCATTAGTAACAAAAATGAGCAAGTGTTGGGACTCATTACTTCAATAATGCTATGCTGAATACTAATTACATTTATTTATTACAAGTAATTTATCATCTTATATATTATTTTTATGTTAGTATCAAAATTGAGCAAGTGATGGAGTCCGTTAAACTAATACAATGATAATATGTGAGGATATACAGTGACAATTTTCAGTTTATAATTTTTTATTATTGAATTATTATTAAGTTATAAAAAGGAGAGTGCATATAGAAGAAGCATCATATCCAATTCCCTCTCTACCACCCAATACTGGTGTAAGAATGGGTTTCTTACTATCCAATTATCAACTCACAATATGTATCCTGTATTCCCTAATTTTCTGATGGTCTTCTTCTGCACATCTTTGCCATAATGATGAGAGCACTGCTTTGCTCCAATTTATGCAACTCTTTTCCTTCAATTGCTCTGCTTCTTTCAATTGCTATGATCTTTCTGCTCCAATCACTGATAATTGGAAAGAGGGTACAGATTGTTGTGCATGGGATGGGGTCACATGTGATAACACCACTTCTCATGTCGTTGGCCTCGACCTCAGTTGTAAACTGCCTATATGGTACCATCCATCCAAACAGCAGCCTCTTCAATCTTGTTCACCTTCAACACCTCGACCTTTCTCTAAACAACTTCAATCACTCTCAAATTTTACCTTCATTTGGCCGTTTCACAAATTTGACCCATCTAAACCTCTCTGGCTCCCATCTTTCTGGCCCAATACAATCATCATCAAAAGAAGTCTGGCAAGGAAATAACTTCTCCAATAGCATTTTCCACTTACAGAAATTGCAAGACCTGTGGTTACGCGGTAACAGAGAAGAGAACTCACAGGTAAACTTCCAAGTTTTATTAATGGAACTCACCGGCACCTTAGGCACCTTAGGTCGTTGGATCTCTCTTCGACAGGTTTCACCGGAGAGCTACCTAATTCCATCGGCCAACTTGAGAACTTGGAGGAGCTATACCTCAGTGACTGCAATGTCTCTGGTACGATTCCGAGATCACTTACAAACCTCACGCGATTAATTTGGCTTGATCTTTCATACAACAATTTTGAAGGCCCAATTCCTCAACTTTTTTCCAATTTCTCGCAACTTCAAGCTATATATTTCTCAAACAATCAACTAACAGATCCCATTCCCTCTTGCTTGTTTCATCTTGTGAACCTTATCTATCTTGATCTTTCGTCAAATAATTTAAGCAACACTGTTGAGCTGCACACGTTTGCAAAGCTTGAATATTTGGATTTTTTGGATCTTTCAAACAGTGGTCTATCATTGACCACCACCAACTCCACTCCCTCCTCTTTCCAAAACATTGGGACATTACGATTGTCGTCTTTGCTTTTCAAGTATTAATTTATGATTTGAATTTTCCAAAGTTAGTCATCTAACTTAATAGAATAATTTGGGTTTTGTGCGTCCGTTTTGGAATTGATCTTGATAATATATTCAAACCAATCACTTTTTAAGATTTGTTGAATATAAAATTCGTTATGGTGATGTACATCAAAAGCTATATGTTTGAATAACATTTATATAACAAAAAGAGATGGTTATTCTTAAAATTATATTTGTCATTCATTTTTTTAAACAAATGTAATTCAAATATATAAGTACAGATGTCCGGTGATTTTGATTTTTCACGTAAATATTATACTCAACAATGATGTTGACCCCAAAACGAGCTCATTAAGCCCGGCTACTCTCTCAAGTTGAATGGCCAATTTGAGAGAATCCAACCCCATTGAATTAATTATTATATTGATTGAGAGGAGAGGGTTTGCACCAATGAACATCTTGTAAGAAACTTCCTTCTTCAAGTCTCCTAGCACACAGCTGTCCATCCTTTCTTCAATAATGACATACAAAATTTTGAAAGGTTTTCACAAAGAATAATGTTATATATATAATTTTTATTGAAAAAATTCATACAAAATGATATGTCATTTTTAGCCCTTTGTTTCGAGCAAAAAAACAGCTAGTAGTTTATAATTGTAAAAATATCATGTTACATTATTTATTAGTTTTATTTATAAAAATTATGTTTTCGAATCATTTTTTGTTTTTAATAATATAGTTAAAGCTTATATAGTTTATTATTTTTGAGAGATTTATTAAGAACTCCTTTTCTAAGTACTTGTATTCTAATTAGTCCATAATATATCATTCTATTTCAGTAAGTCCTATTATTTGTCATATTTAAGATATTTTATAGATAATTTTACCCTTACAATTATGTTTTGAACGGTTAGCAACTTGGTGATGTGAACGTTCATATTTTACGATATGAATATTCACATTGACGTGTAAATGCTCATATTTTATGATGTGAATATTCACATTAACGGTGTGAACGTTCATATTTTATGATGTGAATATTCACATCACGGAACATACACGGTCAATGTGAATACTATTAAGTGTATTTTGGTAACTATGTCATCCATAAGACTTGTTAGAATATAAGAAAATAATTTGTTTTAAGTAAAATATAAGTAAGGAAAGAAAGTTTTATAAATAAGTTTCCCATTATTTTTTGAAAGATTATTTTTTGAAAGAAGGCCCGATCCGTTTAGAAATTTGTTACAAAATATCATTTTGTGAATATGTTATTATGCTAGATAAGGGCTTTGTTCGCCCTAGTGTTTCACCGTGGGGAGCACCGGCCCTCTTTGCTAAAAAGAAAGATGGTGCCCCGGAAGTTGAATCGGGCTACGATCAAGAATAAGTACCCTATGCCCCGTATAGATGATCTGTTTGACCAGTTGAAGGGTTCCCGTTGTTTCTCTAAGATAGACTTGAGATCAGGTTACCACTAGTTGAGGGTCAGGGAGGAGGATATTCCTAAGACGGCATTCCGTACGCGGTATGGCCATTATGAGTTTCTGGTGATGCCATTCGGGCTTACCAATGCACCGGCAGTCTTTATGGACTTGATGAACCGGATCTTTCGGGAATTCTTGGATCGATTTGTAGTCGTTTTTGTGGACGACATTCTCATCTATTCGCCTTCTGAGGAGGAGCACGAGGAACACTTAAGAGTGGTGCTTAAGTTGCTTAGAGCCCATAGGCTGTATGCCAAGTTTGGGAAGTGTGAGTTCTGGCTAAGGGAAGTCAAATTCTTAGGCCACGTGGTATCCGAGGAAGGGGTGTCTGTTGATACATCCAAGGTTGAGGCAGTGCAAGATTGAGCACAGCCTAAGAGTGTATTTGAGATTCGCAGTTTTCTGGGATTAGTTGAGTACTACCGTCGGTTTGTGAAGGATTTCTCCAGAGTAGCTTCGCCGTTGACTAGATTAACGCGGAAAGGGGTCAAGTTCGTATGGAGTGAGACTTGTAAAAAGTCGTTCCAAGAGTTGAAGGTTAGATTGACCACCGCTCCGGTTTTGATTATTCTGGAGAGAGGATCGGGTTACGCGGTCTATTGTGATGCCTCATGAAAGGGTTTGGGTTGTGTGTTGATGCAAGAAGCGAAGGTGGTAGTTTATGGTTCACGTCAGTTGAAAATCCACGAGAAGAATTACCCTACGCACGATCTAGAGTTAGCAGCAGTGATCTTTGCCTTGAAGATTTGGAGGCACTACCTTTATGGTGAGAGGTTCGAGGTGTTCTTGGACCACAAGAGTTTGAAGAA